ATTGATTGAATTATAGTAGGATATATAAATTAATATTAATTATTATCATATACGTAAATAAATAATTGAATTGTATAAAAAGTTCATTTCACATAAACAGTTTTTTTAACTATTTTTTATATTCAATGATTTTCAAATATCATTTATACAGTGTTTATAAAACATTTCGAAATAACGTGCAGCGCACGTTTAGCTGTGACTATTATATTCAAAGCATGACGAGCACATTAAATAAAAATATAAGATTTATTTCTTTTTCTAGCTCTAGTTATGCATAATTTCTACAAACTACAATCCAAGCTTTAAATTTATTTATTTTACTGGTAATCAGCAAATAGACTATAACGGGGCCTAAAAATGCTCGACCATCATTATTTTATATTTGTAAAGTTTTGATGGTGGCGCATGTTTCATTTTGTCCAAGTTTATTCGATTCCAAATTTAGATTTTCAACTTTTTCATATATATTTAAACAATTATTTTTGCCCCAATAAAAAGATTGGACGTAAAAAAAATAAAAATAAAAATTAGAGACATCCCTTTACACGAACCCCCACTTAATGAAAAAGTTTAATTTTCACTTTTGCCTTTACTTTTTTTTTGGTCATTTGTCAACAATGTCTTTAATCAACCTTCATACTCTAACTTTCACTGTACTAATAACGTTATAATATATAAAATTAATTTTCATAATGACATTCCTTTAATTAATTAATATATCTATATCATTAATGTATAATTAATTGAAAATTTTCATTTATATAAAAAGGTAAGATGAAAATATATACTTGAATACAATGAATTCTATCAAAACTTTTATTGCATATTACTCTCCATTTTTATTTCCTGTGCTTACTTCCCCCACCCCCACCATCCTTTCTCTCTCTCTCTCTTACTGTTTGTTTTTCCCAAAATAATTATTTTCATAAAATAAATCAAGGTAATTGTCTAGGGAATTGTGTGTTTCCGTTTCTTAAATTGTCAATGGAATATAATTCAGAACTAGCTTTTGATTTTAAGTTCTTACCAGATGTTTTCATAACTTTTAATAATCTCATCTTGGCTTTCACATGATTATTAAAAAAGAGGTGCATGTCTCCAATTATACAAAATTTAATCAGATCGAATCAAATCGAAATGAATCAAATATGTTTACTTGGATTTAGGTAAATCAAAGCAAGAGGCTAAATGTGTCACTACTTTTGACAAATTAAACGAGGTATAACTTTTTTATATTTTGTGATTTTGGATATATTCAATGAATATAAATTATGCATCGATTTTTGCATTCTAATATTCACATGAGAGCATACTTTACTTTTTAAATTTGATTAGGCCTATTTATATTCAAATAGGTTTGATAAGAATTTTGTTACGTCAATGTAAGAATTTTATAATGTATTTTGAAATTGTCATTCACAATAAAGCAAAAAGTGTAAAAATTCAATTTTATGGATTTAAGTATGCAAGTTGTTTACATATGCAATGCATTTGTAAATGTGGTAGAATTTAGTAATTTTTTTATATGATTGATTATTGTCAATTCAATTTAATCTTTGATAATTTGATATTTTTAGTTCTTCGTCCTCAATTATGTTCCTTTTGTAATTTTATTTCGCATTTGATTATCATTTTCTATCTTTTGCGCGGAATCTAAAAATCAGGATTCCAAATTCTCATTGAGAAAATTGCAAAGTCTAATAATTGTATTTTTTGTATTTATATTTTTTTGCAAGAGATGTATATGAAGTTGATTCATCACAATGGAGTTGGGTTTTTTTTTTTTTTTCCCGATATTATATTAGATTATAAATATTATTTTGCTTAGAAAATATTTTCTCAGAGAAAAAATTTATCATCGTAAGAGGTTAATCAAAGGTACTCTACGTATGGTGGCTATCAATTTATTTTTCTTTTTCTTTTTTTTATTAATAAAATATTCAATAGTTTAGAGTGTGTTTGATGCACATTAAAATTGAAAGAATGCATTTTTTTGTGATATGATGGTAAATATGTGATTGAAAAAGAAGGGAAAGTTATTGATATGATGAAAAATAGTATTTTATTGAAAAATGTTTAGTTGAAAATAAATAGAAGAATGAAAATGAAAGTGAGAATGTGACTCAAACAAGGGCTTAGTCTCTCTTTTTGCCCCCTTCCTCAATACTATTTAGCAGTGTAAAGTTAACTTCGCCAAAAACGTCACAAGAATTTGTTAAAATATGAACTTTCCAAGATAGAGTTCTGCGGTATGGTCGTGTGGTATCATTCTACTCCTAATTTTTCTCTTATAAGTTGTTTGTCTGCTATCATGAAGTCATGTTTATCTAGGCATGCTCCATAGGGTGGGTAAAACTCAAATCAACCCGCCTAAATCGCTCGAACCGACCCAAACCAAACGATTTGGGTCTTTTTTTTTATTTTATTTTATAGGTGGGTTGGGTTTTGGACAAAGAATGAGGGTCGGGTTGGGTCGGGTTATGGGTTAACCCAAGAAAACAGATTATCCCGACCCGACCCGACCCACTTAGTTAAAAAAAAAA